TCTCTCTCTCTCTCTCTCTCTCTCTCTCTCTCTCTCTCTCTCTCTCTGCCTATTCTTTGGCTGTGATGACCTCTCATTTTTAAGGCCAGTTGATTCACAGTTTCTGGTTCCTCATCTGCTTCCTTGTCTCTCTGCCAGGAAACACCACGTGCTTTCCAGTTCTCAGAGCAGGAAAAGCCGCTTCTCTCCTTGGCAACATTCATTCTCAGCAGATGAAGGGTTGTCTGCCGGGGATCTGGGGGCAAAGGCCGAGCCCTGGCACTCCTACTAAGCTGAGCTCAGCCACCTGCCCTTAATACAACAACTGTGGAAATAAGTAATAGTGACAAACAGAGAGAGAGAGACATTTATTCTGTGTGGCCCCACTGGGAAAAGGAGTAAAGAAAGAGGTCCAGTGACCCAGAAGTCCGGCTAGGCACCAGCATGAAGCTTAGGTTTAAACAGAGGTAAAGAGTGTGTAAGAAGCGCAAGGAAAGGCGGGAGAAGCGACGCTTTGGCGTCAGGACTAGTTCCAAGTGTCACAAGGTCGGGAGATCTAGGCTGGAGTCAGACCCCAGCGAGCCTGTTCCTTATCCCTCCCCCACCCCCACCCCCAGTTGCAGCACGTCCGCTCTGGATTCTTGCGAACTAGCCTGTCCCCCGCTCCAGCCCCCAGCAGCAACCTGTCCTACGGGAGGCTAAAGGCAAAACAAACAAAAACAAACAGGCCGGGGTGGTGGCGGTGGGGGCGGATCAACAATCTCGAACTGTGGAACTGGAGACAGAGGAGACCCTCCACCGACCCACTCCCTCCATCCTGAAGCTCGCTGATGCTGGACGTGAAGATTCCAGCAGAAACCGAGGGGGGTTTCCCAGGCACTGGAGCAGCGGAGTGTGGAGTGTCCCGAGAAGAGCCGGATAGGGTCGGCGAGGTTTGGGGGGAGGAGGAGGAGGGAGACGTGGGATTACGCAAGCTCTCCCTCCCCTTCAAAGTGAAAAAATAAAAGAGAGAAGTAATCCTCTGTCTCCCCCGAGTTAACCAAGCTTGCCCGCTGCACGGGGGTTTCCTGTGCTCCACGCTCTGCCCCACCCCGTGCGATGTCACCGCGCTCAGCTGACACAAAAACAAGAGTCTGCAGGGCAGAGGTCTCCACTCTGGACCGGGAGAGCTCTTAACCGACTCCAGGAGGTGGGCGCGCTGCGGAGGACAGACGCCAGCGGGTAACGTGTCCCCCGAGGTCCTTTGCACAAGTTTGTTCAAAGCCGGGGTCATCAGGTGTCGTTCTCCCCCCGCCCCCACGAGGTTGTGGGAAAGCGGGGTGCGACGCCTGAAATTCCAGGGTTCGCTTCCCACTCTTCAACTCCGGGTGGGAGCTGCGGGCTGGGGACGCGCGGGGAGCACGGAGGCTTAGGCGGCGGGGAGGTTTGTGGGGAGGAACCCAAACCTTTTCAAACCCAGCCTTGTAAGATCTGCCCTGCCGCACTTGAGAGCAAACAGCTGAATCTGGTACCCGGCGTCCTGAGGAAGGAGGCCAAGCGAGGTCCTGTCGGGTGGGGGGGAGGGGCGATGCGAGGTGTAGTGTCCGCTCTATTACCAGAGCCGCCTCTAAGCTTGGCTTGGGGCTCGCTGACCCCGGGGTGCCCGGACCGTAAGTGATAACGCGGTTAACAACAATTCAATGGGCGGTCCAATGTTTCCCTTTAACACTGGGTGGTACTGAAAGCAGAAATGAGAGAGGAACAGAAGAGAGAGGGCATTTGGCAGGAGCTGCGGAGGTCCTAGGCTTGGGGTGAGGTGGTGGCTGGTGGTTCAGAGGTATGCCTCTAAGAGGAAGCGGCCCCCCTTTCCAAAAAGACCAAAGCTGGGCTTGCTCTGATGGGGAAATAGAAACTGATCTCTAATGTGTTTGTGGAAGGGGAGGGGGGACGGGGGAGGCGTGCGGGGCTGAGGGAGGAGCGGGTAGAAGCGAACTGAGGGTTTCCTGTGGTTAGATCTCCGCCGGAGCTGTAACTTACTTAGCGCGGCAGCGTCCTGTACCAGAAGGAAGGGTTTAAAGGCCAGGAGGCATTTAAAAATCCGGAAGTTTTACTCTCTTTGCGCAAGTCAAAGAAGAGTGGCCACAGGTTTACCTGGTCAGATAGGAGTTAAGCCCATCGGAAAGCAGAAATCCAGTTTAGCATTAGGACTTTCAGTGGTCGCTGTCGGGCCCAAACAACAGTCTCTGAAGTCCTGGTGCCTCGCAGGGTTTCTTTGTTAGTGAAAATATGAAACAAAACAAAACGAAAAATTACTCTCAGCGTTCCTGAGTATATTACTTCCTGACCTTAAATAACTGCACGGGAGGAGAGGAGGCTTCTCTTGTATTAACCAGAGTTGGGGAAGACAGCTGTTTTCCTCACTACACAACAAGTTTTCACCGAGAGGGAGACTTGGTGGGTCTGAGAAGTCTAAACTTACAAGCAAGGGAAAAGGAAAACAAAGATTAGAGTCATCTCCAAGTCTTAAAATGCCAAATGAGACTCATGCTCTTAATCCCAGCACTGGAGAGACAGTCAAAGGTGGATCTCTGTAAATTCCCCCAACCTGCTCTGCATAGTGAGTTCTAGGTCACTCAGTGCTGCATAGTGAGACCTTATCTTAAAAAAAAAAAAAAAAAAAAAAAAAAAAAGTCTCAAAGTATAGAATGCAGAATTAGAGCCATTGGTTTTACCATAGATTCAATTTCTACAGGGAAAAAAAAAGTCAGCAGACTCATGAATTTCCTGGTGTGTTTTGAACTCATGATAGTCCAATGAAATATTGAAATTTGTGTTTTCAAGATGATTTATGCATGTCGTCTTAGGCAGATTTGTTGAGGTGTTACTGAATCCAACCCAGCTCAGCTGGAAGAGCAGCCTTTGACCCCATCTCTCCAGTACCTTCCTGATCCATTGTAAAACTGGGTTTCTTCCTTCTTTTCTTCCCCCTTTCCCTGTCTTCCTCCCTTTCTTCCTTCCATCTTTCTCCCAGCCCCTTTCTTTCTTTATACAGGGCTTAGATTTACATCCCAGCCTGGCCTAGAAACCCACCGAGGACCGGGACTCCAGGTCATCAAGGGGGTCACCAATCCCACATTCCTGTTTTCTGGCTTTGTTTTGGCTTCTGGTGGCATGGCCATCTCTCCATCCCTTTATTTTTTATGTTATGCATTTAATGTCATTTAATGTCTGCCCAATCCAAGAGAAAAATGTTGAGAGAGAGAGAGAGTCACACAGAGATAGAGACACTGGAAGACACACAGACAGACACAGAGAGACATAGAGAGAGAGAATATGAATTTTATCACACACTCTGGAGCAGCCAAACCACAACTTTCTGATTGTGCAAAAGCTGGTCAGCAACTTCCCTAATTTTGCCTCCATTTCCACCTCAGGAAGCCAAGCATGTTCCCCAAATTAATCATGAAGGATGCTCCATTTCTAGCAGCTTGCCTATGTCCCCACTGAAAACAATACCAGCCAAGCCACAGCCAAGCCTTCCTTAGTTGTTGCTTCTGTAGGCTTTCCAATTCCCCTGCCTGTCACTGAGTTCCAGCCAATGAAAGTGATGGTAGCTGACTCCCTTCTTATAAGGAGCTCAGAATCAATACTCTGTTCTCAAGTGAGTACTCCTATTGATATCCATAGTTTCCAGGAGGTTCCAGGAAGGCACCATCTTACCATTAGCTATTCTACATCCCAGCCTTTGGCCAGGTGAATACCCACAGAGCCTCTTGGACATGGCCAATAGGAGCTCATTGATTCTGCAGCAATATAGTAAACAAGCACGGACACTGAGTCCTCCTTGTATTGAGTTCTTAGCTAATTGCTTCCAGTTTGATAGCAGAGTTTTGTTCCTGGTTCTCATTTTGTAGCATCCGTGGTGGAATCAGCCTATTCCTTTTTATCCCTTTCTCTCTTTTGCGTTGCTCATAACAATGAGAGTTGCAGGGCAAAACCGGCTTTACAGACCAATGAATTTGTAGTTCTCCTTGAACACCAGGTGTACATTTAGACAAAGAATCATAGTCATTAATAAAACCAGATATGGTTTTCCATCTACCTTGAGTTTTTGTCCAAAAACTCATCTCTCTGGCTCACAGCCAGCCTCTTGAGGGGACACAGATTGTTGAGTCTGTGCTCAAAGGTCGGTGACATGAGATGCCAGGTGTGGAGATATTTTTTATTTTTTCCTGATGGTTGACAGCTTTTCAGGGTGTTCAAACTCTAGATACCCTACTCATCTAGGGAAAAAAAAAACAAAACACTTGCTTCTTACATGTATACTGGTAAGCACCTTCCTAAATGTCTAAAATCTATATCAAATTGCCATCTCTGTTGTTCCAAATAGTCACTAACTTTGTTTATGGAATTCTGCCATGTATAGCTACAGACATTCTGTCTTAACCTCCCTGATCAGAATTGTATTGCATGGATATTCTCTCTCTCTCTCTCTCTCCTCTCTCTCTCTCTCTTTGTGTGTGTATGTGTGATGTGTATATAATCTGTACGTGTAACTTTTTGACACAATAGAAACCATCTGGATCAGAGGATTTAAAATGATCCGTTTAATATTAGCAATGATAAATTCTTAAGGCAATCAGATTGGACTAAAAGAAAATCATCCTAAAAATACCCTAATCTTCGTTGGTGGAGAGAGACAAGGAACCAAGAAAAGCCATAAACATCAGCACACCGAAGATTGCTTTTGATCAAGGAAGCACCCTTCCTGGAGTGTGCAAGTACTACTAGAAATTTTCCTGGGTTTTGCAGGGGACCCAAGAGACATTGCCATTCAGAGAACTTGACCAAAATAGTCACCCTAACCACATCATAAGCCCTGGCAAGATGGCTCAGTGAGTAGAGGTGACTGCATGTAGGCATGATGATCTGAGCTCCACCCCAAATTCTACAGGGTGGGAGAGAACTGACTCCGTAGAGAGAGTTGTCCTCTGACCTCCATGTGCATGCTGTGACATGTGCCTGTGCACACACACACACACAATAAATTTTTGATAGAAAGCAAAATCAGGATGAGCAGTGCCCTGTGGTCATTTCTGTGATGAAAGTGGGTGTCCCACAGACTTGGCCTCTTTCAATGAGCTGGCCTCACCCTATGTGGGAATAAAGGGCCAACTTCAGAAAGACGTCCTTAAACTGGATTCCCCACCTTCTCGTTCTTGTTCCGTCCTAATGGTTTTTATCTTTCTGGGTTTCAGGAAAAGACTTCAGCTACAGGCCGAGAAGATGAGTTTCCTGGCAAATTTGGAAATGAACTTTGCGGAGTACATTGTAGACGGAGGGAGAGCCACCCTTGGGGTTAGGCAAAGGGTGGAAATGGACCCTGCCCACCGGGAGAGACAGAATGAAGTCATCTCGCAAGCAGTGTGTGCTCTGCTGAATTCCGGCGGGGGAATGGTCAGGGTTGAGATTGAGAACAGAGACTACAATTCCGAGTGTGATGGGGTAGGTTTGAATCTGCCGCCATTGTTCAGAAACCATCTGGACGAGATGCATCAGGGGGAGCTCTTTTTAATATATGTGAACTCGTGGAATGTGGCCGACTCAGGCGTGCCGCTCGCTACCTTGTGTTCCAATTTGTACCACAGATGCGGAAGATTTACTGAGGTCATGGATTCTCCAGAAGCCCTGCTGTTCCTCAGAAGAAGGGTTGAGGCTCTTAGGAACGATGGTGATCCTGACTTAGTAAATCCACAGGAAGCCTCTGTTGATAATCACATGATCTCAGCTTCTGGTTTATTTGAAGGCTGGCAGCTCCAGTACCTGCAAAAACTCAACTTTGCAGAGTCCCTACACGTTGATTTTCAAATGTTCTCTGCAGACCTTTCCCAGGGCCTTAAAGAGAGACTCCCCGTGTGTGTTTCTGCCCTTGCCAATTCTGAAGGAGGATATGTGTTTTTCGGTGTGCACGATGAGACCTGTCAAGTCATTGGATGTGAAAAGGAAAAATTAAATCCTTCTACCTTGCTGGCTACTATTGATGGCTGTATCAGGAAGATGCCTGTCTATCACTTCTGTGCACAGGACCATAAAGTGCAATATGAAGTCAAATTCCTGGAAGTGTATGAGAAAGAGGCCCTCCATGGGTATGTCTGTGCAATCAAGGTAGAACAATTCTGCTGTGCAGTATTTGCCAAAGCGCCTGATTCCTGGGAGATAAAGGACAATCATATAAAGCAGATAGCCACAAAGGACTGGGCAGCTTGGATGGTAGAAACCGACCCAGGTAAGAGGACAAGATTGCTGGGGGGAGCGGGGGAAGGCAGAGAGAAAAAGGGGAGATGTGGAATTCTTTGGAATTTGGAGGAAGAGCTTAGTAGCTATAGATGGTGGGTCATTGTCCTCCCATTCGACTGCTCATCTTGAATATTCTCAATGCATCAGAATGACAGTTCCATTAGAGGTTGGTGGAGGGGTTAATCCGAACTACTTACTTCTTTGTTTGTTTGATTGTTTATTAGACACAGGGTTTCTCTCTGTAGGCTTGGCTGTCCTGGAATCGCTTTGTAGACCAGGCTGGTCTTGAACTCAGAGAGCTCTGCCTGCCTCTGCCTCCCAGAGTGCTGGGATTACAGGCGTGCACCAGTAAGCCCGACTTGAATGACTTACTTCTGTCCCACATCTTTTCTTCTCTTGCTTATTTTTTTTGAGTTTATTTTTTTAATTTGGGGTAACCTAGGCTAGCCCCTTACTCAAAACCTTCCTGCTATAGCCTTCAAGAGTATGGGTGACAGGTATGAAGCACCCCACCCAGCACAGATTCCCCCATGTTCACATTAAGACCTCTTCCTTTCCAATTACCAGCTTTCATTTAATTATCAAGCAAATCCCCTTTCCACACCAGCAGATATGTCCTTTCTAACTAACTTCTTGACAGTTTCCACACCCCATTTCAAAAAGCACTCTTAAAAAGATTAATTTTAATATTATATATATATATTGCTTTGATGATATGGGTGCAAAATGTATGTGCAGTACCTGCAGAGGCCAGAAGAGGGCAACAGATCCATGGAACTGTAGGTAACAGATGGTTGTGAGCTGCCATGTAGGTGCTAGGAACAGAACCTGGGTCCTCTGGAAGAACAGCCAGTGCTCTTAACTGCTGAACCATCTCCCAACCTGTAAAAATTATTTTTAATCCTTTCTTTGAGCTTTTCATGAGCAAACCATGATTTCCACATTTTCTCATTTCAGGAGCCGAGGTATAATACTAACCATACTGAACACCTAGAGAGCAGGGATGTGATAGCCACCTGCTTAGTAAAGGAAAGATAAATGAAATTAGATGCAAGAAAGCCAATGGTAACTTCAAAAGTAACAAAACAAAAGGGTCCATTTCAAAACTGTTCAGCATTCTATACCACTGACATTCACATTTTCTATTCATATATACTTAAAATGGTATTCTAAAAAAAATGAAACAATTTTATTTCAATGTGATTAAATATTAAGGATTTGGAGAGGTAGCTCAGAGGTGAAGAGCATGGCTGCTCTTGCAGAGAACCTGGGTTTGGTTTCCAGTTGATCTGAACTGGAAATGCAAATAGCTTACAGATCACAGCTCTGAGTTTAACCTGGCTCAGCTAAGAAGTCAGGCTGCCCTCTGTATACTCACCTTCGTTTCTTGTTTCCTCAGAGCTTTACAGTTTTCCTCAGATGACCCTCGCAAGGAGCGTGTTAGACACCACACCCAAAAGCAGGCCTGTGTTCAAACATACAAGTTTGAGAGGTGTGGAAGAGTTGCAGAAGGATTACTTTCCAGGTAATTGCCATCTCTGGCTGGTTTAGAACATGCTGATTGTTCCTATATTCAGGAGGGGAAAAGCCTTGACTCTTATTTCCATACAAAACCACTTATGGAAAGTTTAAGGAGGGGCCTGAATATCGCTTAGCAGTTAAAAGCACAGGCTGCTGTTTCAGAGGATGAGGGTTTGATTCCCAGCACCCACATGATGACTTACAACCATTACAGAAATGGGTAAGCATATTGGAATATAGTTACAGAATGGAACATTAGCAGTGAAAATGGGTGCATGATTGTGGAGTGTAAGCAGAGGGCTGAGTGCGGTACATCTTGTCGTGCCCTTGTTCCTGGTTTTTCTTTTCTTTTTTTTTTTTTTATTTTTTATTGATTCCAAAATGTTTCTAAATATTCTACTGTTTCTAAAATGGATTTTTTTTTCCTTGGCTTTAGTTATTTCACTATGAAGCCTTTTGCATACAGATGGAGCATAGAACAAAGACATAATTTTAATAAGTAATTGTACCATGAAACTCATGTAAACACCAAATAAAATAGGTAACCAGAACTCTGCAAATACTCTGCTGCCATTTCTTTTTCAGATTCCCTTCTTTAGAAGGACTTTTGGGAAATGCCTATCTCTCTCTCTCTCTCTCTCTCTCTCCCCTCCCCCTGTCTTTCTTTCTTTTTTTGCTTTTTTGAGACAGGGTTTCTCTGTGTAGCTCCTGAAACTCCCTCTGTAGACCAGGCTGGCCTGGAACCCAGGGTTAAAGTTGTTGCCACAACACCCAACACTTTTTTTTTCTGCCTTAAGCAGTACAATACACATTTTTCTATGGATAACTGACATGCTGTTAGGATAAATTCTGAGTAGTAACAATTGCTTATCGATTTAGCTGAACATTTCCAAAATGCAATCCAAAACATATGCGCAGACCCATGTTCACCAATACAGTCTTACTGTGGTGGTTTTCTTCTAGAAGAATCTTAGAAGCATTTTGTGGTATCAATATTATTTTGACGGTCAATATATTCAGTCAGTGAGCTGATCTGGAGAGAATCACCAATTTTACAATAGTAAATTTGCTCATAGTTCGACATGGCAATATTAGCTTGCTGATCACACAAATCCTGCTTACATTTTGCTAAAGTTTAACAATCTGCTATGATTTTATTAACTCTGAAAAATTAAATTGCTAATTAAACTGTAAGATGGGTGACTAACATGTTTGAAGGACATTTACAATTAATGGAATACCTATATACCCATCCTTTCAAGGCTTTGTAACATTGTTCTTTCATATGTTAATGTCGTCCTTGGAGTGGGCTCTTTCGTGATTATAACTTCTGTTAGTGATCTTCCCCTATGCAGGTAAAGCTTAGTTCTTACTTCATAAACTTATTAATGCAAAAAGAAAAGATAATTTTAAGTAACTTTTTCTATGTGAATTTTTATTACTTGTACTTATTTTAGTTCAAGAATTATTTAATTATTCCAAAAATAATGTTCCATTAAAATAGTAGTAGAAGCTGGGAAGTGGTGTCAAGTGCCTTTAATCTTAGCACTTGGGAGGCAGAGGCAGGTGGATCTCTGTGAGTTCAAGGACAGTCTGGTCTATAAGGCAAGTTCCAGAACAGCTTGTCTCTTTCCTATAAAGAGAAACCCTATCTCGAAAAACCAAAAAACAACAAAAATCATAGCAGAAAAAAAAATATAGTAGGATACACCCTGAGTTCAGTCCATTTTGATCAAAGATAACTCTAGTGTTTCTCTTAGCCTCGATTAACTTTATTGCTGTATCCAGTTTACGGTATTAGCCATATGACCAGCTATGCTTCTCCAACATGTATCTCCTGTTATGACAACCTCTCATTTTTATTTAGACTCTACATATTGTTCCCTATATGTACTTAAAAATGTTAATTGTTCAGGGGCTGGAAAAATGGCTCAGCAATTGAGAGCACCATCGCTCTTGCAGGGATCCCGGCTTGATTCCCAGCACCCACGTGATGGCTAATAATCATCTGAAACTCCAGCTCTAGGAGATCACATGTCACCATCTGGTCTGTGCAGGCATTATATGCACACAGTACTCATTCAGACAAAGTCTCATATGTATAAAAAAAAATAAATTTCTTTTTACATTTATTAATAGTATTCATGCAAAAGTCTTTATAGTGTCTTGCATTTTTATATATACTTATTCATGCAATACATAAAAATCTTTTAAAAGACTTTAAAAACTCAAAAGTAACTTACACGAGGTGGACATTTTTGTTGTATAGTTCTAGGTAGTGGCACATCCATAGTTTTGTGTAACCGCCATCACAGTTATACAAACTAGTTCCATCACCACAAATAAAGCCTCCTTCATGCTGCCTCTCCTAACTCAACCTGGGCGGATGTTGATCTGCTCCGTGAACCAGCCATCATATGGCTTTTGTCAAGTGTCCTGGTGGCTCTTGCACGCTTTCCTCCGTATCCTCATCTTCCTTTCTTTGCCTCTCACTTTTGGAAACACACACTGTGTGGAGTTATCTGGATGGACCGTGGTGTTTGTTGTCTCCTCGCTTATACATGCTCCTCCTGGAGTCTCACTCTGTGGCCCTGGTCGGCCTCAAACTCACAGACATCCGCTTGCCTCTGCCTCCTGATTGCTGGGATGAAAGACACATTCTACCACTCCCAGCTTCTCCTTTTTATTATTTCTCTTTTGCGGATCCTTCCACTGGCTAACTAGAGGGCACCCTTGGGGCTCAGCTCAGCTGTCTCCTTTTCATAAAGACTTAACAACTGTCATTTCTCTTAAGCTGTGCTTTCCATAAATGTTTGCAGTCCTAGTGAAGCTTCTTCTTGCTGCCTTTGCTACTTTTTACTCATTGTTGTCTGTGTTGATTGCAGCTGGTTAGGGGCTCATCCAGACTTAGGATTGCTTCTCTCTCTCTCTCTCTCTCTTTATTTTACTAATATAAAACTGATCATTGACACATGATAGGGCCCAAAGGTTGGCAGTCATGTAAGGGTGAAGTGGAATAAGGTAGAAAAGGCCAATTATTGGATACTGTTTGGTTGATATATTAAGTGATTTACTTAAAGCATTGCTTGTACTGCCTGTTTGCCAAACCTGTCACCTGAAACAGATGGTGATCTGAAGAAATAGCTGAAACAATGGGTCATGGTCCTTCAAGTCCTGCTGGCTGCCATGTACTCTTGTGTAAAATCTTGCTTATTTGCCCACTCTGCTTGATGGTTTTAGACTGCAAAGTGTGAGTACAGGGTGGACTGGGATTGAAGGCTTTCCCGGGCTGTCCCAGCTTTGGCCCGCCGGTGGCATCTCCTCTCTTCTACTCTCAATGGTGTCAGAGTGCTTACTCTAGAAAGATTCCCACAGCGGTGGTGATTATCTGCCTGTCCTGGAAGTCTCTAATCCATTCTGATTCTTCCCTGTCCAGTGTCACCCAACAGGATTACATATACTCCAGAGAGCGTCTACAGGGACCTCTTCTCAGACCACAGAGGACTAAGAAACCTAATAAATTCAGAAATGCGCTGTTTCTCTCAAGGGGTATTGGTTTTCTCCCACAGCTGGGCTGTGGACCTAGGTCTTTCAGGGAAGCAAGGAGTCATCTGTGATGCTCTTCTAATTTCCCCCAACAATGTCCCGATACTGTACACCATTTGCAGTCAATGGACTCTGGGGTACAAGTCTTATTCTATGAAAGTCGCTCGTACTCTGAAGGAGCAGTTGGTGAACGTGGGTGGCTACACCGGGAGACTAGGCATTATTCCCTTGGTCTTACAGCTGGGTTCTGATCAACCAGTAAGGCCCAGTTTAGAAATGCCGGTTTACCCCGAATCCTATAACTTCACAACCATGGAGGAGATGGAGGAACTGCTGAAGTCCCTTGTGATCGTCTTGTTTGGGTTCAGATCCTTCTCAAACGAAGAGCTACCCTCTGAGATCATGATGCTACTCACAGACCAACAGTATCAGTTGCTTTCAAAGAATCTTTGCAAGTGTGGAGAGCTGTTTGTTCATGGCTTACCCGGCTCAGGCAAGACCACTCTAGCTCTCAGGATCATGGAGAAGATTAGGAATGTGTTCAGCTGTCAAGCCAACAACATTCTCTACATCTGTGGGAACCAGGCTTTGACGAGGTTTATGAGGTACGCAGCCCTGACTCTATTCCTTTCTTTCTGGTGGGCAATTGTAATGGGTGTGGTGTTCACAGGCTGAGCTCTGGGTTGTTGCTACCAGGTTCAGGAACTGTAACTATCAGTTGGTTTGACTTGTTTTGCTTGACGGAGAAAAATCTGATCGCACTTCTTACCCTTTCAGCAAGAAAAACCTTTGCCAGGCAGTGACACAGAAAAATTTCATGAAAAAAACCTTTAACAACATTGAACACATCGTCGTGGATGAAGCTCAGAATTTCCGAACCGAGGACGGGGACTGGTATGCGAAGGCAAAATCCATTGTTAAGACCAGGGGAGGCGACCCGGGGGTTCTCTGCATCTTTCTGGATTACTTTCTGATCAACCACTTGTGCTGCAGCGGCCTTCCCAGTCTCCAACAGCAGAACCAAGTACTGATCCTCACCAGGATGCTCCGTAACGGTGACAACATAACCAACTACCTACAACACATAATCCAGCAAATCAGAGAAAACCCTCCCGTCAATGTCCCCCCAGAGGCCCTGAGGTTGGGCCAAGAACCCGAATGGGTTCTACCTGTCACTGGCAGTTTAGAGATTACTGATGACTTGAGTTTGGAGCAGATGGCAATCTACATAGCAGAGAAATGCCAGTGTCTCTGGAGGTCTGGCTATGACCCCAGGGATGTCGCTGTTCTTTTCAGCAACACCAGAAATATAGACAAATGTAAAGACAAGGTTCTTCTAGCAATGAGGAGGAGGACTGCGTCTCAGCTCAGCGAGGAACCCAGTTCCCTAGTGCAGGTCAGAGAGGGGTTGGATATTCTGGGTAATCACATCGTGTTCGAGAGGGTCCACCGATTTTCAGGCCTGGAAAGAAGCGTAGTGTTTGGGGTCATCCCAGTGGCATCTGACACAGCCATTTTCTACAATGTTCTGCTCTGTCTGGCTTCCAGGGCAAGAACCCATCTGTACATCGTAAAGCTTTCGGATTGTTAGGAAGATAAGTGTCTAGAAGACTTTGAAACTCTTTGATCTAAACATTTAAGCACCAAAACATTTAATGTGCAGTTATCCACTTAGGTGACAAGTACTGGTGCAAACAAGTACTGGTGCAAATGACTCAGACAGTTGTTAGAGATAGCAGAGGAGCCGGCACTGAGATTCTGTCTGTCTGCCTGTCTGTCTGTCTGTCTGTGTATGTGTGTGTGTGTGTATTGGAAAGTATTGGTTGTTTGGAGTAGGGAGGAAAGAGCTAATCATGAGAAGACCACTGAACTATATGTTCTAGTAGACTCATATATTCCTTGTTTTATTTGTTTGTTTGTTTTTAATTTTAACACAGACTCCCACAGAAATGCTTGATCCTGGTGTATGGGGAAATCATGAAGGGTAGAGGGGTATAGTTTGTCTGTCTCTAGCAGGACACGTTTTGAAAAATAAATTCACAAACTGCAGATTATAATTTCTTGGTGAGACCAGTTTAGATTGTTGTGTTGTTTTCCATTTTGCCTTTTAATGGTGTCACTGTCTTTGATCTTTGCCTCATGCATGACCTTTTCATTCAGAATCTTTGCCCTTTGACTCAGCTTTAATGTTATTCCTGTGGAGACTCCGGAGTTACTGCGGTCACAGTGCCACAGGGAGACTCCCTCTGTGGGGTTTAGTGGTCTGGAAGGTAGGGGACCTAAGAGGATGGATATACAGATTCTAAGGTTGACATCACTTCACATTTAGTTTAGTAACCATTGTATGCACATGTAAGTCAAATATCTGTTCTCCAGGTTCTCAGTAGTTCAACCAGTCTTTCAAGGGCCACTGATGAAAAATATTCATCATTTACTTTAGTTTCTCAGAAACTCAAAATTTAGAGCCATACAGACTTGTCTTTTTGGGAGACACAAACAAAAATACAGAGTTAATTGTCTAGTAAAAAAGGAAAAATAAATCATGAAAATTTAAGGGAAATAAGCATATATGGAAAGTATGATATAAGTTGAGTAACTTGGAGAAAAATCACATATTCTAACAGGAGTATCTAAGCCTATAATGTTTATATGAGCGTGTGTAAGCAGGGCTGAGTGTGGGTGTAGGCCATGAACTAGAAAAGAGACAAAGAAGCTTGGGGAAAAAAAGCAGTGGGGATAGGAACAGCAGGTTACTTGTGATATGAAAACAGAAAAGGATGCTGTCGGGGAGACAGAAGCTGGGCAGAGAGATGGGCTCATTGAAGGGAGGGGAAACAGATATTAGTGAAATACTGTAAAAAAAAAAAAAAAACCACTCAGAACTTGAAGGTAGAATTGGTTTGCTTTAGGCAGCCTAGTTACAGTCTTAAAAATTCACACACAAGGGGCTGGAGAGATGGCTCAGTGGTTAAAAGCACTGGCTGCTCTTCCAAAGTGACCCAGGTTCAATTCCCAGCACCCACATGGCAGCTCACAACTGTCTGTAACTCCAGTTACAAGGGGCCTGACACCTTCACACCAACGCAGATAAAATAAAATTGAACAAGTTATTTAAAAAAATTCACACACAAAACAATTTACTTCTAGCCAGGTGGTCAAGGTGCATGCCTTTAACCCCAGCACATGGGAAGCAGAGGCAGGTGGATCTCTCTGAGTTCGAGGCCAGCCTGCTCTACAGAGCAAGTTCCAGTACATCCAAGGCTACACAGGAAAACCCTATCTTGAAAAGCCAAAAAAAAAAAAAAAAAAAAAAAAAAAAAAAAAAAAAAAAAAAAAAA